ATATAAAGTATTGTAAACCACAGACCTCAAGAAAAATAATACAGTTATAAAAAAGACCTGATGCCTTTACTTTGTGGTATTCAAGCATTTGGAATAGTAAGTCCATAATGTCATTTTTTATGAATGGATTTCGGCAATATTATGAACTTGTTATAAGCCAGTGAATTACTTTACTTTCAAAAAGTTTGTGGAGGGTATACTTTTTGTTTTCTCTATTGTTTACATTAATTTATTTGTTGTTAATTGAGGTAATATTTGGATACCCCCATCAGGTATCACCAAGTAGGTATAACTAACTACCTATCACCAAATCACCCATACTCCACCTCCAAAGTCCATTGAACTTCCTTCCCTCTTTGTTCTTATCTCCCTCCTCACTATCTTCCTTGGTGAGCACCTTGGTGCTTCCATTCTGTAATCAGCTTTTAAAGGTTAATTTTTAAGCTTGTCTTTATCTTACTCTTTTGAGGTACTTTATATTCCACCTATTAGTTATACCTTAGTATTGACCTTTCTCTTCTGTCTTATTTTACTTAGCATTATCCTTTCCAGCTCCATCCATGTTGTCACAAATGACAAGAATTCATCTTTTATGATTGCTGATTAATATTCCATTGTGTATATACATCACATCTTGATCCATGCATCTGTTTGGGGGCACTTAGGTTGTTTCCATAATTTAGCTATACTAAGTAACACTACAATAAACATTGGAGTGCAAGTTTCCTTTCAAAGTAGTGTCTTAGAATATTTTGAGTAGATGCCTAGAAGTGGAATTACTGGGTTGAATGGCAGGCCCACTTTTTTTTTTTAATGTTTTAAGATCCCTTCATACTCTTTTCCATAAAGACTGGACCAGTATGCATTTCCACCAGCAATGCAGGAGAGTGCCCTTTTCTCAACATCCTTGCCATTACTTGTGGCTTCTGGTCTTTTTAATATGGGCCATTCTCACAGATGTGAGATGTTATCTCTTTGTGGTTCTTGTTTGCATTTCCCTAATGGTAAGTGATGGTGAACATTTTTTCATGTGCTTATTTGCAGTCTGTATGTCTTCTCTGAAGAAGTGTCTGCTTAGTTCTTCTGCCATTTTTTGATTGGGTTATTTATTTTGTTTTTGTAGAGTTTTATGAGTTCTTTGTAGATCTTTGATATCAGTTCTCTGTTAGATGTATGGTATGCAAGGATTTTCTCCCCTTTAGCACAGTTAGGCAATGAATTATTTTAAAGGAAGAACATTGCAAAGAAAAAATTGAAGAAAAATGTCCACAAAAATTGATAATAGAAAAAAGTACTTTTTCCACAATAAAGTTACTTGTTATTTATTTATAGTCTGGTCAGTAGTTAGAGAACTATTTTGTTATTTTATGTAGTATGGGACAAGGTAAACAGAGAACTATACAAGCTATATTTTACTATACTTTAAGAGAAAGATGTGTCTAAATTCTATCTAAGAAATTATCTTGTAAATAAAAGTTACTAGATAAAAACTTCATGAGAGTTTATGAACTCTAATCACACAATTGTGGCCACAGTCCTGATTGCTCTTTTATTTCTTACTTTTTCAATCTTTCCATTATTGTCATTCTTTCCTTAACTGTATGAAGAACACATTGGCTTTTTTACTAAACTTCCCTACAGTATAACTGTTTAAATCTGAAAGCAGTACTTGCAATATCAGTATAGATCAATTTGATGCAGATTCTCTCTTAAGGCAGCTTAAGCACTTAAAATTAAATTTTATGTCGTCTAGACAAGTTATCTTGATAATATCTTTTCCAGAATTTCCCTGGTTGACTGTCTAGACTGCTCCAAATTCCCCAGGTAATTGTATAATCATCTTCCCTATGACCTCATGAACAGTTTGGAGCAGTATTTCCCAATTTGTAGCTGCCATGCAAATCAAGATCACTAAGCTTCTAAAGAGGCTCGGTGTTTCAGGTCTTAGGAAAATAATAATACCACCTCAAAGGAGATCATAAAGGAAGTTTTATTCATTTATTTATTTCAATGGAGGAAATGGCCTCCTCTACTTTCCTGGCTCCAGAACCCATAACTTTCCATTCTCCCCAATACACATAAGAACACAATAAATAGTGGATGATTTCAGAAGGAAATATGCTGCAAACTATACTAAAAGGCAACTTCAAAAGGGAAAAATCATGGCCTTTTTTTGGATAGAGGAACATTATATGGTATTTTAATTTCAGTGGCCATCAAGGTCATTTTCGTACACTAAAATTGGGAAATTAAGCTAAGTGCAGAATAACCTGGCAACAATGAAAATCCCATGAAGTAATTTACAATTTGTGATGAACAGAGTTATGTTTAAGAGACAAGGTAACAATTACTAACATGAGAGACAGCAAAAGTTTTCAACCTGAGATGCAGATTTATACTTTTAAAGTAATAACTGACTGTTTCCCAGCACCTACTACCTACTACATAATGTTAAACTGTCCACACCCTTATGAGTTAGAGACCATTCTCAGTACCACTCTACATCAGAAACAGAGACTCAGAGAGAAAGTTGCTTGCTCTAAATCAAGCATCTGTACCCACTGAGGTCTAACAAGTATCCTGAAGTCCAAGGACTTGGTTTTATTTTTTTTCTTTTATATATTTTTTATTACATCATTCTTCATATTTGTACAATGTATGATTTCCCATGAAATTCCCACCACCAATTCCCCCGTGCATCATCACCATAGTCCCTTGTGCTTTTCCCTCCCTGTCCTGATCCTTCCCCCTCTTCCTTCCCTACAGAATGCCTCTGATCTAGAGTTGCCTAAACAACCAAATTCTTTTTTTCTTTTTTTTATTACTTTAAAAATTTTTTTACATCATTGTTCATTTTTAAACAATGTTTGCTCTCCTCCCCGCCCCCCCTCCCCAGGTATAATCCCATAGAGTTTCCTTCACCAATGCACCCGTGGACTTGGTTTTAACAATGGCAGGTCTAGAATTCTGAGTTTTCACTGCAAAACAGTCAACTGGTCACGCCCTGATAAGAAGGTTAGAAGCCAATTGGAGGTAGTAAGTCAGCCTCTCCCTTAAAATGTAGATATTGAGCATCAAAGAGTATTTCTTTAGTTATACACATTATGAGACAGAGTCTCAGTGAGGTTAAGTAATTTCCCTAGTGTTCTCCGTTTAGTAAGTTGTAGAACAAGATTAAAAGCAACATGTGTCGGGACTCCAGGGTGGCACAAGGAGTTAAATCTCAGCACTATGAAATTATCGCCAGCCTCTGCAGCAAGAGTTCAGTCCCAGGCCAGGGAGCTAACCCATATGGTGAAGCAGACCTCTCCTGTCTCACCTGCTGCTACCCTCAGCAGTGTATTGAAACACACTAATGCGCTGTTCTGCTCTCCACTCTGTCTCTGGTGAATCCTCTCACCCCCCCAACTCTGGCCTACACTCCAGCTCTTGTATGCATAAATAAATTAAATAAAATAAAAAATCTTTAAAAAAAGTAATATGTGTCACCAAAGTCCATGCCATTTCCACCACCTTTGCTAGCTCAACATTCCTGACCCCGCCGTCCTACATAGCGTGGAGACAGCACATATAAAAAGTGCAGTAAGCTGTGAAGGGAGCTGTCTGCAGCCATCTCCAGGCTATAGGGAAGTGGAACAATCACTCAGGGCTGAAGTTTTAGGATACCTGTTTATAGGAAATAGCTGAGAAGGAAGTCAAGTGGGAGAGATTTATCTAAAAGGAGCCAAACATAGCCGGGCACCTATGTAGGAAATGATTCCTAATTTTGTCATCATGAAACAAGCCACTTAAGTAGAATTGCTCTTACTTAATTTTTATTTCAATTTCTTAAATATGTGAACAAGTCGGTGTATGTGCTTACATGAAAAGAAGGAGGAAGGATGTGATAAGGATGTGATAGGGATGTGATGTTAATTAATGAGACCTTGGGAAAGTGTTATAACCTTCCCAGGTTCATCAAGAAATTAATATTGAGTGTTATCTAGAAACCATATAGTCTAAAGATACCTTCTTTAAAAAAAGTAGGCAGAACACTATTTTCATTCTAAGTCTTTGGATTCAAAGAACACATTTGTATCACTTTAGGTACCATAAACATTTTTAAAGAGAAAGTCTAGAATTTCAGCTATAAAAAAGTGTTTAATATGTAAATTGTATTTTAATCTTTAGGATACAAACAATATCCCCCAAACAAATTTTTTACTTATAGAGTATTTCTGAATCCCAATTTGGAAAGAGACTGTCACAAATGATTTTCTCATCACATGAATGTTTTTGTTCTTCTAAGTATCGTGAGCCAAGAAATAAAAAAATGCGTGTGATTGAAGGTTACCGGCAAACCCAATTCAGCTGCTTTCAACATTAGTAACTTTCCCTATAAATATTTCCATAATTTCAGGTTTTACTTAAATTTACCTGTCCAATGTTTTCACTAAATTTTCTCATTAATCATCTTTTAGGAGCAATAGATTAATTTTTTTCTATTTCTTGCTGCCAAAATAATAGCCAAAATATAAATTCAAAGCTCAGCTGAGCAAGAACACAAATGTGAATAATTTAGGGCAAATGTGAGATCAGATAATTGTGCACATGTATGACATCCTTTCTTAATCCCTAGGCAGAAGAAAACAACTGGGGTGGCAGACACTTCTGGCTGAGGATGGAAATGGAGGGGAAAGCTGGCAATATACAAATGAAGGAGAAAACAGTACACATTCGGCCTGCTGACATCTGCTGCACATGCAAAACGGATTGGACTCTGTAAGCCAGGGTGAAACCAAATGCTCTCTTCCTTCTTTCCTCCTGTCCCAGAGTTATTGTGGAGTGATGGTCTCATTCTTTTTTGGACTCACAGACTAAAATTCGTAATAGCATTTGAATTTGAAGTAGGTTCCACTGAATAGCAAACCAGAAGCTAAATGAGTTGAAAAATTTAGTAACGAAGCATTTGAATAGGACAGGGTCATGGACAAACACCATTTTTTAAAAGCCCGTTTTACCTCAGGATGATGTCCAATTTCAATGTAGGTGCAAATTGGATGAAAAGCCCCTGTTCCACAGGCGTACAAGTGGGTCTGATTATAAGCCTTAAGCACCTTGATGAAATTAGCACATTCTTTCTGCAAGACAAAAGGAAACCAGTGAGTTCGAGCAGTCAGCATGACTGAGCTATCCTCTAGGGTGCTAGGCATGCTTGAACAGATTTCTTTTCTATGGTGTCCTTTTCACAACATTTTTAGAGCTTATTATTCTATTGTTTGCTCATATCATTGCATGAACTAAAAATATAGAAGTTCTTACTCTTTGGGAGGTTAAACATAATATTCTCTGCTATTAAAATATTAGAATATTAATAATATTCTCTTTGTTAAAACTGTGTAATTTAGCTTTTATAAAATTGAAGTAACAGTTTATAAAACTATGTTTCAGTTGTGCAACTTTATACTTTGATATCTGCATATACTACAGTATGATCACTATCAAATAATTTAATAAAAAGAAAAAGAATATAACCAATAGTAGCGGTTTTCTAAAAAGGAGAGGGATAGTAAATTATTTGATTATTTAATGAATTATCTAAGTAATACAGTGGTGAAAATTTCTTTGCAAAGATCAACTTTGAGTTAATTTTAGAAATAAAACAAAAATAAAATATAACTAAATCTATTAAACATGAAGTTTAAATATCATTAATAACCCATCATGATGGGCACTGACTGTGCACTTCACTTGTGCTGCTTTTAGATCCTAAGAAAGTAGAGCTGCCTGCTTCAGCTTCACTCAGCTTCAGAGACAACTCGGGTTTTTAAATAGAGAATATGGCAGAGTTTGGAAAACCTGTAGATTGAAGGGTAATTTGTAGAGTGGCTATAATGAATTAATACATATTTTGAGGAGGTCCATGGACATCCTAAACCACAATAAACCCCATAAGCCATAGAGCTCAGTTAAAGAACAAGTTATAAGAGGAAATTCTAGTCACATCTTATTATTTACAGGAGTTTAGATATTCCTGCCGTATTATTTTCCAACAAAAATATCACCTAAGAAGTAAAATGGATACAGCTATTTATATTTTAAACTGTAGATCCTGTGAAAAGAAATATTTTTCTGTAAACAGAAATTACAGTAGTTTATTCCTGTGGAGGAAAATTTGGGAGGAAAAAAGAATGAATATTCAGACTATAAATTGCATAACTTTATTGCCAAATAATTCAAAGCAGGAAAGATACGAATTTCATAAACTATTTTAACTAGATGAATCTTTATCATTATTATAAATATCAAATTATGAAGATACATCATAATAAAATGCTCTAGTGTATACACCATATAACAAATCTTAAAAATTGGATATACATATAGTAGAAAATAGGAATTCTCCATGGAATGCAAAACATTCACTTTGAATACTCCTATGTTAAATAATAAAAACTACATTCACATTTATTTTATTAATGATCAGAGACTTTCTTAAATAGTTTTGCATTTTTGCCCATAAATGTTTTGAATTAAAACCAATTATGTAACCATAAAGGCAAATAAAGATCAAAAGCAGGCTATAGTGCAAGCAATAATGGCAACCATAACAAAGAATTGGTCTGGTCCTGGAACCTCTAAGTGTGTTACAGTCCCATAGTCAGCCTCTATGACATGTGGCTTTTCAAGCATTTGGACTTACGTAGTCAGTTGCAGTTTTTAACTGAATGCTACGATAATTTAAGTACATTTCCACATGACGTTTGTAGTCTGTGGTTGCAACTGATGATTTTGGTCTTAATGCTATTCCCCAATAAAATAAGGAGCAGACTACCAACCTTAAGCAGAAAAATTGATATTTAAATTATAACAATTGCTTTCTATCATCGCCGATTTTTCTAGGATGAAACCTAAGTATGAAACCTAAGTATGTGCTATAAATATATTGTCCCAAAGGTGAATTTCATCTACTTAAAGTAAAATGTAAAACTTCGAAGTTATGGTTCCTCATGCTTTTTTAACATGTGCTGAGGAGTAACAAAAATAAACATTGAATTTTTCCCATAGTTTTGTTACTTAGATCCTGATTTTTTTTTTCTTTTGTCTGGTAAGGTGTCATACATACAGATTAAACTCAGAAATCAACTGATTTTGCAAGTTGCTGTGAAGAAAAATTCCACAGATAAAAGGGTGTGTGGAGCTCACCTATGCTTCACTTAGCACAGAGTACCTCTAAGGCAAAATGGTGAAACACATATACCTTCCAAGACTTTTAACAACAAATTCCTCATTCTGTAATAGTTCCTCCTTCCCAAGGAAACCGCATGGATGCTGGGCAGGGGAAACAGGTTGTGGAATGGGAAACATCTGATAAACTCATTTACAAATGAGGCATTCATGGGGTTTTACCCAGAGGATTTATTTGCACTTTTAAGAAAATCCAGTCACTTACAAAGAAGTTATTTTTAGGAAACTTTTCACGGTCTCTCTTACCTTCACATAGGTAGGTGGCCGCATAGTCTCTGCTTTTACGTAAAGACAGCCTTCCTGATTATGGGCTCAATTTTATAACATTCAATATTGTAAATAACCTGTTCCAGCACCATATGTTGACACCAGGAAACTGTCCATGTCTATTTATTGGTGAGCAAATGAATATTTTAATAAACGATAGTGGCAGACCCAGATGGGTGTCTTGTTCATTTTAGAAAAGAATAGGGTTTCTGAGGGAGGGGGAGAAAAAAAAAGAAAGGGGTTTCTGGGCTTCCCTGGTGGCACGGGTTGAGCACAGCACTGTGAAGATGTCCACAGCTTCTGCAGCATGGGTTCGAATCCCAGCCAGCCAGGGAGATACCCACATGGTGCAACAGACCTCTCCTGTCTCTCCCTCAGCAATGCTTTTGGTCCGTCTGCCTGTTCTGCTCCCCGCTCTGTCTCTTGTGAATCCTCTCACCCTCCCGCACATCTGGTCTGTACCCCAGCTTTGGTATAAATAAATAAATCTTTTAAAAAAAGGATAGGGTTTCAGGTTGCCTGTGTTGCCTTTAAAGATATGCATGCAGTTTTGAAGACAAACCCAAATTCTCTAATCCCATCAAGAACACCTTAGCATATCCCACAGAGGTGGGAATAGATCCTCACTCTCCACAACACAGAAAGAAGGAAATATAAAATAAGACTACAGACACTTGTGAACACAGAGGAGGCTCCTATACCTCTGCAGCTGTTAGACTGGATAACTGATTAGCTATAATTAATAAGTGAACATCTCTCAGGTCTTAAAAACTTGGAATTAGGTCACACTAAATATCATGATAATTTTAATTTGTTCTCTATTAAGTGTCAAAGAAGAGCCACTATAATATTCCTCTGCAGAGCTGCTGGAAAAAAATCAATCACAGGACTATAGCTGTGAAATCTGGCAAATGGTTCTACTGAGAATGCTGATAAGGGAGTCTATCTGAGCTACAAAGCAATAGACCCACCCTATTGGCCTGAGGCCTGGAATGATCCCATTCATTTCCCCACTGAACTCTCCCAGTTGGCAGCAGTCTGTACTGTTGCCATGCCCAGGGGCTAGCTCAATATTATTTTGAAGGTTGATGCAAATGGAATGGAGAGAAATCTCTTGGTCTTAGCATGTGTTTTAAGACACTGAGAGTGAGACAAAGAAATGGCAGGAAATACCTTCAAAATTGGTTAAAATGACTGCAAGGAAATTCATCAACAACAATGGAGGAGAAGGATAGAGTGAATTAAAGGAAATGGACAGAGAAGAATCAAGAAGTCAAAAGAGACATCGCTAGTAAGGATTTGTTCCTTAAACAGAAAACCTGCAGAAAAGAGTATCACTTTCTGTCATTCACTTGCTTCATTCTCCGGCTTGTTGCTGCTGCCAAGGTTTTGGAGTGTTCCAAAACAGGATATTCATTTTATTTGGAAGCAGCATGGACTTTCCTCTAAAAAAGAAGGAAGTGTGGCAGCAAAAGGAAACACACTTCACACATTTCTGCTCTAGGGAGACAGAAGAAGAGTGTTTCTGACCTTTTCTTGAACCATGACGATTCTTATAACCCAGATTGTAATGTACTTTTTGGCATCACACTACTGCATTGCTTTGCTCAGCACCAGAGGATTTACAACGTAATAAAGAGAGTGTAATCAGTTCAAAATGGATTCATTTTTCAAACCTTGATCCTTTTTGGAGTTTAAGTTGATATACACAGAGATGTTTAGCAACAAGTTGGCTTCCCAAGAGTCAGGCAACCATACTGACCTCTTATTTTACTGAAATGCACTCCAGACCAACAGCATTATAAATTGATAACTTAGCCTAGAAGTAAAAGCAAAGGTAGTTATAAACCAGTAAACCCCAAGGCCACACCTGAGCAGTAATGATTCATCATCCTTAGTGACAAGTCATTTGCACTTGTTTTTTAAAGGGTTTTTAGTGTTTTCAGATGAAATGGATAGAGGGATTACACACAGAGATATTAGCCTGGAAAAATAAATGAGAAAGAAAATGCCTACCCCCTAGAAAAAAAAAGATATAGGAGCCAAGCGCAAGTGATTCAAAAACAAACATTACAAATATGTAGCACTGATTAGACTGTGTTACACAGACTTTTCCCGGACGGTTACAAAAATAAAGTCCATCCATCTGTCAAAACAACTGCTCCATGCATGAAAATTCAAAGAGAATAGAGGTGTTTTTAACTAACTTCCAATAATTATACTTTCTACAAAAGACTATAATTTACCTCCAATTCCAATTACCTCCTTCCATGTTCTTAAATTATGGATGGAGCAATGATATTTTATTCTAAACAAAAGAAGGGAAAAATGAAGAGAAGGCTGTGAAGATGAACAATCTCTATTCAACCATATTCAGTTTATGATTAAATCAAACAACTTGTTCTGGTTCAAATATAAATCAGCCCAAAATGAATGGGTATAGTATAACACTGCCTTGGGTCATTGGACATTCATTTAAAAGGGAAATATGTCTCTATCCCATCAGTTTATGTAAAAATATTTTATTGTACAACCTAGCAGCTGGGAAAGCAAAGGAAGCCCTTTCCTATCATGATGGGTGGATACATTTCCGCATGAAAATCCATTAATAAGCTTAATTCCTGAA